AGAGATTAAAAAGATGAAACATATTCTTGCCACACAGACAACCAGGTCTCATGTGCCAGTATTTTAAGAACAGAAAGAGAACTAGAATATAACCCGAAATAAAGTTTTTTGACTGATGTTTTTGTTTGCTTTGCTTCGATTCTCCCCCCGGCCATAGGTAAAAGCTACGTATTTGTTAAAAGATGTGACTCCATCGAGCACCCTGCCCAAAACAAGACTTCTATTTCAGCCAAATGGTGTATCAAGTGCCAGAACTCCCTTCCTACTGAAGACAACTGAAAATGTTCAATAAGAAAAGGTTGGAATCTTCTTGCATCAGTTCATAACCTGATGAGAAGCAGATTCCCACTCAGGCTGGAGTTTATGTAAAGGTGGTGTGGTGAATTGACAACTGGTAGTCAACTTGTAACCCCCAGCTGAACTGAACAGGCATGGTGCTGGGTGTGGGAGGCCACCTGAGGATTGTTGCCAGCAGCTTAAGAGGCAGAACTGGAGAAGAAGAAGAAAGACTGTTGGGAACTGTGAGAGGCTGTTGGGAGCTGGTAGAAGCTGTAAGGAGTTGCTGGTTTTCTTGGAGCTTGTCGTGCTGGCTTTCCTGATGAACTTGGCTGTTCGTTTTGGAGGAGGAGCTCAGGACCTTGCTGGCACTGAGAATAGCTTTGGTTCACTTTGGAGGAGCTCTGGTCCTCACTTTGAGCATCGCTTCCTGGCTCCGGAGGTGAAGATTGTGCACTGCCAGTCTCCTGGAGAAGTTTGCTGCATTGGCTTTCCTGATAGGAAGTTGGCCGTCCTGATCACTGAAGGAGCTCAGGACCTCACTGTTGCTGAGGATGGCTGTGGTATCTTTCAGGGGAGCTTTGGTTCTTACTTTGAGCGTCACTTCCTTGCTCCAGTGTAGATACTTTGACCTGCTAGCACAGATCCTTCATCCCCCTGGCATAGACTTTCTAGATTCCACCACTGACCATTGGGCCTTCCCAGTGCAGATCCATGAAACAGGCCTGTGTGAGACATTGTCGTGCGCTCTGGGTCTGCAGCTGGACTCATGGGAGGCATTGTGATGAGCTTTAGGCCTTCAGCTGGACTCGTGCAGGACATCATCGTGGGATCCAGGCCCTCAGCTGGATTCTTGGTCTCTAGTGTGTGCACAGATTTCCTGCATGCTCTTGTGTATGATTCTTTGGTGACTATTATAAATAATCTTCTGAAATATGTGTCCTGTATTACATTGTTCCCTTTGCAATAAGCCCAAAACCAACACAGGTGGGAAGCTCGAGGGTAAGTGAAACACTGACACCAGTCTTTCCCTGGGTGGAAATCATAGGCTGAATAATGAATGCACCCAAGGTGTAGATTCTACATAACGAATCCACCCAAACTGCATAGGGCTGAGGCTCAAAGGGATACATTTTCAGCAAAAATCACACTGGAACTGTCTTGAACCTTGGATTTAGGCAGAAGAGAAGAAACCCCCCATCTAATAATTCAGAATTAGCATTTTTTATGTAATTTGTTATAGGAAGAAAAAGAAATAAAGAAAATAAACGAAACCAAGTGGCTTGTGAGGCATAGGCAGAACACACAGACATGTTAGGAAAGGGCATTTAAACAGGTAACCTAGGAAACTTGTTCTATAAAGGTTCAGTAATGAAGTACACATGGGCTAAACATGGACTAGAAAGAAATGACCAGGTAGATACTAACTATCACAAAACACATGAAGCACACAGTCAGCATTCTTGGGGTCTTAACTTCACCACCAACTGGTGACGCTTATCTGGCCTCTGCCCAAGAAACACAAAGTAAACACACAGCTGTTAACTGGTTAAATGGAAAGCTCAAGTTGTGGCCAGGCTCACAAGATTCTGCTTCTCTCCAGCAGAGAAAATGTGTTCCTGACCACAAGGATCTTCTGACAGCTGGGCCTTCTTACTGAGACCTCACATCTGACCCCACAAACCACACCATCATCGAGGTGCAGCAGAATTGGAGCGTATAAAAATTTCTTAACCCCAAATTCAGGTGACCCTCTCACTCCTTGCACCTTCCAAGGTACTAAGTTCAACAACCTAACCCATGTCTTTCCTTCTGTGTTGTGCCATAAACGCTAAATGGATTGATTTAACAGTGTGCTTTGAGCATCCTAACTTGGCCCATGAGCCCTTCTGTTCTCTGACTTCTGGGATGGTCTGCCTGGGAGCATAAGTAGAGGACAGAGTTACATCCAGGCGTCCTTGCAGGATACCTCTTGCAGGTTTGTGGCCCAGAACTCCAATACTTACAGGACCCCAATTTAGAATTAAAAATGACCCTGATGAAACTGGGCATGGTGGTGCACACCTGTAATCCCAGCACTCGGGAGGCTGAGGCAGGAGGACTGCTGAGAGGTCGAGGCCAGCCTGGGCTACATAGTGAGTTCAAGGCCAGTCTGAACTGCGTAGGGAGATCTTGTCTCAAAAAAAAAAAAAAAAAATGACCCTGATGAATACTACCCTGAGACTTCTGACAAAAACAATGTTTTCCTTGAGGAAGCCTCTACCTTCATCTCAGGCCTCAAATGCTAGCCATAGCTGCTCGAAAAGGAAAAAGAAAATTGCTGTACACCACAAAACTTCAAACACTAGGATCATCAGATACCAAGTGTAAATAAATACTGTGTTTATTATCATTCAAGAAATAAAGACAGCTTAAATATGAATAACTCCTAAGGTTGTTTTAAAACACATAACAGAACTCCTAGGAATACACATATAATAGTTTAAACTGCTAAAAATTAATAAATAGTTTTACAGCAGATTTGAATTAAATGTAAACCTAAGGGTTTATATAATACTGTCTTTCAAAACGGAAGGTATATATATGCATGTATGTGTTTTTACGGGTATATGTACACATATTCTTATATATTATAAATAATGTATAAACATATATGTATATATTAGTTATATAAAGCATACTATAAGTCAATATAACTGATCACTTACTATCACCTTAAAAATTTATATTTGGTTTTATTCTGTGCACCACATACTTTTGAGCATATGCTTTTGTTATGGTTAGTAACTGTATGACGCTTCCTTCCTTTTTGAACTACACTTTCTCAAACACCTTCTCTTGTTGTTCCTGTTCTAGTGAGCTCCATTGGAAAATAGAATTAGCTGTGAAAGCAAGAGAAGACGCTTTTTAAACACAATCCTCCCAGCGCCCACATGTTAGACTCTGAACGCGCTCCAGAAACTCACATTCCAGACGTGCCATTCCCCATCCATATCCATCTGTTTTCCCCTGGGTCAAAAAATAGCCCGATCCAGCACTGATTTGGACCAAGCAGGGGTCGAAGGAAGGCCTGAAAATGAAACAAAATATATCACGTAACAAATTCTCATCTGTTCCATGAACAAGAAGACATCCAGGCAGAGGAGCCCGCTGTTCCTGTGGCCGGAGCCCTGCTCCTCTGCTCATCCTCTCCCCTCCGTCCCTGTATCTGCATTTTCCAAAATGATCTTCCACTATTACATTATTTATTTATCTTAAAAATGAGTATCAGTGTCATAAATTATTAAAGGTTCAGAAAAATGTAAAACATAAATATTGTACAATTGGAGATTTGTTAAGTAATTTTGGATACTTTATGACAAATTCATGCTTCAGCATACTGAGGGATACAGAAAAATGATCATCACATACTCTTAAGTGAAAGAAGTAATTTTCAAACAAATTCAGGAGCAGATAGGTGAAGATATGCATTAAAGCTTCTCCTAGGAGAAAGCCTTTCTGTAGTTTAGTAGTTACAAATGATAGAGGGGGAGATATCTAAAAGTATTTACTACATTTAAAATGGAATGCTCCATATTGACATAATACATAATTTCTCATTAAATGAGTGAATATGTTTTAAATTATAGGCTTATCTTTATATTTTATTCTATCAAACAGAAAATTATTTCATGATTTGATATTATGAATTTTTTTATATTGCAAGTTTAAACTTATCAAATTTACATATAAATGTGTTTTTTCCTAAATGATAAGTAGAGGTTTCAGGCTAACATTTTACTTCTCTATGAAAACACATGTTGGGTATGTGGATGATTTTCCTTAGTAATCAATTAAAATGAAATTTTCAGGACTATAGCATTGCTGGTATATTTTCACTTTTTATAATTATCTTTAGGGATATACATCTTTATATATCAGAACACTGATCAAATAAATATTACCTATATGGTAGATGCAATGAAAATCACAATGAGGCTAACTGGGAACACTGGTTATACATTTACAGTCATCACTATCATCTCCATTTTTTCAGATAGACCCAGAGAGGTTCACTAATTTACCTAAAGTCATCCAGCTAGTGTCCAATAAAGATAGGTGTTATCCCCAGGCAGCCTGGGCCTGGTTCCTAATGGGAATTCCTAGATTACGCTACCTTCTGGCTTTTGGTTACCAGTGTAGGGATAAATAACTACCGGATCCAATTTACCAAAGGGCTCAGTTTTATCCAGGGAAAGGCACACTTCTCTGTGAGGGCTCCACTGCAGACACCTTAGAAAGGGTGCAGATGGCAAAGACCCAAACTGCTTCCTTAATAATAATGGCCATCATGGTAGGTCACATATATTGAGCACTTAGTAAGTAGCAGGACCATGTGCTTCTCGGCAGGAAGGCATCTCCTGGGAGACTCCTAGCTTACAATTTCAGCCCACATAACAGACACAACACAAAGCATGGTTGAAGGTCCTCATTATCTTAGGCCCAAGAATGAGAGACAAAGTCCAAGAGAATAAAAGTGAATATAAAAGCCAGGCATGGTGGCACACGTCTGTAATCCCAGCACTCGGGAGGCTGAGGCAGGAGGTTCATTGTGAGTTCGAGACCAGCCTGGGCTACAAAGTGAGCTCAAGACCAGTCGGAACTGTATAGCGAGACCCTGTCTCAAAAAAAAAAAAAAAAAAGTGAATGTAAGGGTCTATCTTACCAGTTCATCTTTATCATCTATCTTTAAAAGGGATAATCCATGTTTTTGACAAGTCTGCTTACATTTCTCCCAGGTTTTATTGTCCATGATAATATAATAACACTTTACTCCATAGCAGGTCAAGTACCCCTCACAAGTTTTGCCTACAACACACAAGAATCATTAAATTTCTTGTTATCTAGCATTTTGCAAATCAGAGCAATATATTCAGCAGCCACAGCTTTCAGTAATGAAATACAAAGTTCATCAAGATTCTGTAACTGCCAAGAGATTTCTGCACTCTCACATTCAGTGTAGCATTATTCACAATAAGCAGGTATGGAAACAACCTAAATATCTACTGATAGATGAAAGGGTAAGTAAATGTGTTTACTTATGAGGAATAGTACTCAACCTCTATAAAGAAGTAAATCCTGACATATGACAAGATGAATGAATCTTGACAATGTCATGCTCAGTGAAATAAGCCAGCCATAGAAAGAAAAAAATCTTTGATTCTACTTAAATAAAGTATCTAAAATAGTGAAACTCATAGAAGCAGAGATTAAAATATTGGTGCCCCAGGTGGATCAGAGGAGAAACAAGGAAATGTTCTATGTATAAATTCTCAGTAGTGCAAGATGAATCAGTTCTCTAGATCTGTTGTGGACAATAGTTCCTACAGTTTACAATACTGTATTGTGCAATTAAAAATTTAAGAGGGCTTGTCCATGCTAAATATTCTCACTGTCAAAGAAATTAGAGACATGAGAAAACTTCTGAAGGTGACAGATATGTCTATTACTCTTTATGATGGTTACACAGATATATACATTTGTCCAAATTTATCAGACTGAACATATTAAATACGTGTGTTTTGTATAGAAATAATAGCTTTAAAAAGTTGCCTTAAGTAGTTATTAAATTAATTTCTTAAAAAATATTCTGAAATGCTTTCCAAATATATGAAAGATTTTTGGAACTTTTTCTTTTCCTTCCATTTATTTTATAATGTACCAAATTTTTAAATATTATTGATTCTTTAATAATGAAGATGATAAATTTCTACTACCATACCAAACAGTTTAGCCAGGCAAAAGCTCTTTGGAACACTACATCCTCAAGAAATATTTAGTACTCATTGATTAATGAGATCAATCCAAGAGAACTAGGTCAGTGTGGAAGACAAAAGTTGACTTCGTGAAATTTAACATTTTATCTCTCAGATGTTTTTAGTGGTATCATCACACAGAGTTGCAGGAACATTAGCACTACAGTTAATTTTCCAGATGTACTGCAGGGGAGATGGTAGACAGACAGATAGATAGATAGATAAATAGACAGATGATAGATAGATAGACAGATAGATAAATTGATTGATTTACATATAGACTAAACATCTGAACCCAAAGCATAATAAAAACAGAGATGCACAAACATGTACACACAGACATACACGTAAATTATTTTAATAATAGCATGTAAATAAAAGCTCTGGAGCCCATGTTAGTGTATGTATATGTCTAATGACAGGCTCCATAGTTCATGTGGGGGTTTTTTGGCACTGAGAATCAAACTCAGGACCTTGCACTTACCAGACAGACAGGCCCTTGTGCTGCTGAGCTATATCTTCATGTTAACAACAAAATGGGATTCTTTAATTTCTTATGGGAATAGAAAGATCCAAATTTTCAGGGGAAGTTGCAAACTATCTCACCTTCTGGGAGTAGGAGGGATGCAAGAATGGCCATTGAGTTTAGGGAACTGTAGGGTCTTACTGCTCCAAACATGGCTTTGAAGGACCCAATCTCACATGTGATATAAGCAAACTTGGATACTCAGATCATACCCGTAAGGTATGATCTGAAAAGTTTTGCACTAAAGCCTTAGATCACTAGTAGTCTAAGCCTATTTACTAGACTTCAAAACTTCTGTCCTAGAAAAAATAATGCAGCCTTTTACTAAGGATTTCCAACATACCTGTAACTCGCAAAGGTTTCGCAGCGGTTTTCTCCTTCCCATGACATTGTTTAATTGTCTGATCCAATTTATTTTTAACAATGTCATATTCTAAAGTCCTATTTGTCAAAAGTTCCTTTAAAGAGCTGTTATTTTGTGTAATGTGTGCTTGCCTGAGGTCTTCTGCAATTTTTTCCTTTTCATTTTTTTCCTGAAAAACTAAAATTAATAACATAGATATGATATAAAAATACTCATAAGGAGCAAATATTGAAATTTAAGACAAAAGAAAAAGTCTCACTTTGACAACCAGCTCACATTGTTACTTTAATCAGTAATTTGACATTTAGAAAGTAACACCTCTGTGAACTGACCAAAGAAATGGAAACATTGAATTTCTTACTGTTAGCAACTGAAATATAAAATAAGTAAAATAAAACATCTGAGTAAAATTATGATGATGATACCTTACCTCTCAGTTCATGTTTAACAGCGTATCATTTACAAAAAGAGCAAAGTAAAAATCAGTCAGCACACTAATCGCATCTTCTTAGGAAACCATGTGGACTCAGAATCACGAAAAGACGCCATCATTATAATTAAACATATGGGACACCCACAGGAGGAAAGAGAGTAACAGCCAGATATCTAATTTGATCTGAGGGTGGCATATCAGTGATTTTTTGCTAAAAATGGGAATTTAAATAAAAGAGAAAGCTTAAATACAAGATCATTTTACATTCACATACAGCTTCATTCTAAACCATTTCCTCATTATCCTCTTAGGGGAAAGTCAGGCGAAAGCCATCATTTCTTTCAAACAGCTGTTTTTCCACAAATGCTCATGTCAGATTCACAGTGATCTAACTCAGGTGGCAGCATCTATCTATCAGAAGAAGCTCTCTATCTATCAGAAGAAGGACGGCCTGGATAAGATAGAATGAGACAGCTCGCCACAGCCCCAGAGTCAATGGACCAGATAAATAAAAATGTGTAAATGATATTGTGATATAACCTGGGAAAAAACTAACAAAGCCCAGAGGCATCTGGTACATTCCCTGATGACAGACAGGAAACGGTGGAGGGAACACGGCTAAGTTCTGCACAGTTCGTGTCTAATGCTGTTAAGTGCGGGAGCGACGTACTCAGTTACTCACTCTTTATCACCAATACTACAACTGCCGTCAACAGAAGTAAGCAAAGGATCCCAAGAGCTGCTGCAATGAGATGCCAGGGCCCCGCAAATCCTTCAGATAAAAATGGAAGAAAATAATCATCAGAGAAAGAGCCTGGCCCACTCTTACCCTTAACCAGGGATGCCACTGAAACAAGGGGTCAATATTTTATAAAATGATGTCATACAAATTGATTTAAATTCGTAACCTAGGAATTATAGTTTTAAATTTTTAGCTTTCTGGAGGACACGCAACCACTGTCAAAATCTTATATATAGAACCACTTCTATACGATTTCAAGAGCACCAAAGGCAATAGGCACAATACAAATTAGAGGATACAAACTGCCATGTGCACTCCTCCTTGTGATCACAAAACCAATCAGGAAGAGAAAGGAAACCTCAATATTCTTGAGAAACTGGTAGTCAATATGGATGCTCTGAAGCTATAATGGGGTCCATCCTTAAAGGAACGTTTAGAAACCCACTCTCTTTGCTTTGTCATCAGTCCCATTTTCTCTAGACGATACTGTACTCATCCTTGTGCTTGTGAGGTTCTTGGCATCTGAAAGTTTTATCTCTCCCTATCCCTAAATCAAAGAGGTAGAAGTTTTTAATTTAGAGTTTCATTATGACAATAGTTGATGGGTGAGTAGACATAAAGAGAGAATAGGAGAATTAGAATTTCTCCTCTTATTTAAACTTGTTGTTGTTGTTATTTCATTGCTATTAAGGTTTGGTACATTTTTAAGACATCCGAAATATTTTTATCTGAACACAAACATTGTTAAACATATATTTTTTCATTTCTCTAAAACTTTTATTTCTCTAGCACATGCAGCATTTCTTCAGATTTTATTTTTAAAGGACTCACAAATTCTTCTTGCCCATATTTGAATAAAAATGACCTCCTATTTTCTCAAATTTAAAGGAATGTATTCATCCCTCTGTTCTCACGGAAGACTCTGCTACTCTGCCCCGTTATGGTATTGTACGACCAGCTGACAAAGAGAAGGGCAAGATAAGAATTTTTCTCCAAATGTCAAAAACTTGGCAAGTCCTAAGAAACAGGTCAAGTTAGATGCTTACAACGTATACCTTTGTCATCAGCTTTTCTAGGCCTTTCAGTTGCATGAGGTCCTAGTCTACTCTGTGCCTTTGAAGGAGACTGAAGAAATCTCAGGGTCGAGTAAGTCACCTCCTCGTTGCTCATCTTTAGACTAAGAAGAGAAGTGTACTTTGTATTAAACCTTTGCCATGAGATGATTACTGTTTAGAAAAAACTTAAATTAAAATGTAAGCCTAACAGCAGGGGATACAGCTCAGCGTCACAAGTGCCTGCCCGGCAAGCACGAGGTCCCAGGTTTGATTCCTAGTATCAAAAAACAGAACAAAAATAAAATGTAAGCCTATAGAAACATAGTAGGACTTGATGTGGAATATGTGCATGTGTCTGTGGGTGCGTGTTTATTAATGCCTTAAGTGCCTAAAGCATGTAAACTGAGCCTGATTTATGTAAGAAATGAAAAACCTTTCAACATTTCTGTTTGAATCATTTATGCTTTAGTGTTCACTGCCATGGTTATTAGCAAATATGAAAACAACAAAAAATTCTACCAATAGATTACTGCTGTATTGACCCAACAAATTTTGCTCAAAATGTGAGGCAAAATGTGTACCAACTCAATGTGAGGCAAAATGGGTACCAACTCAAATCACTAAACACTGTCCATTCAAATAATAAGAATTCAAAGCGTTCTGAAAAAAATATGAATATCTTTGGTCTTTAGAAACATATACATTTTGATATGTATGAAATGTAAAAATGTTCTTACAATCTTAACAACTGTACATGACTTTACCAATATTTCCCAAAGTTCACACCTGACATTTGCTGCGAAAGAATTATTTGAGGGTTAATACTTCCAATTCAATACTCTGTACAAAACAGGTAAATAAAAATCTCTTGAAGTGGAGCCTAAGTACCCATATTTTTAATCCCCAATGATCCCATATACATGAAAATTTTAAAATTTTCTAGTATGTTGTTGCCAGAGGAATCTATGTGAAAATAAAATTTGTCAATAGGCACTCACTAGTTACTGTCCATAAAGGATACAATCTGTAACACATATCAATATAGAAATAAATACTGAACAGTAAATACTTAAATTTTATTTTGTTTTTGACATTAATCAGTATAGAAAGATGATATCCAACAAACAGAAACTGTGAAAAACCAAGTGAACACATAACTGTATTATTTTCTAATTCTTTTAACTTATGAAATTGTTTAAACTTAATTATTCACTTTTTCCCTAATTTCCTAAGAAAAAGAAGTCTTTTTTATAGAATCCTTCAAGATGGATAACATGTAAATTGTTAGACCCAAGTAAAAATATAATTTCTTCCCCCAAATTCCTCTTCCTTTTGACAGTACAAAAAGATGATGAATTTTCCATGAATGTGAACTAAAATGTTTATGTCTTTCATAGTTAATGTAGTTCTAATGCAATCAGTAAAGAATGCTTTCCTATTGACCTCATTCTCATGCCATTTGTAATGAAATATTGTATCTCCAAAATAAGTAAGATAGGGCGCTACAAAGATCTGAAGGAATAAAAACAGATCTTACCTGTATCTAAGCTACGTAGCGATGCCAGTGAAAGAAACTGATCCTAAAATGAGAAATATATTGGCTTTTGCTGTCCCAGATCTCAGAGGCTGTAAGACAAAAGGTGGAAATGAATTACCTTTGAATGATGCTCCAGCTCAAATTTTCTCCCCCTCCTCTTGAGCAAAGTGAAAAGAGGAAACTGTATGATTTAAAGCTGACACTGACAGAAAAAGAAAGATGGTCATGGGCTATATATTCCTCAGTCTGAGCTAACCAGCCTCTTGGTTCTCTGCAAAAATAACTGAGACGTAATTGACCTGCGTGAGGACACATTAGTGTTACTTCTTCAATCAAGTTGAAAAACAGCCTGCCTGCTGCGGATGTAGCTCAGTGTTAGGGCACTTTGCCTCAAATGCATACACAAGGCCCTGAGTTTGAGTCCCAGTGCTTACAAAAACAAAATAATAAATAAAGTAAGATCTGGTTGAATACATGGAGCCTTGGATTCAGAAGGGCTTTGGCTTTCAATAAAGCTCTTGCCGCAAAGTGTGGATTCTGGAACCAGGCAGATGTGGTTGAAATTCCGGTAGCTCCCGGGTGTGGCTTCAGGCAGGTCTCCTAATTCTCTAAGTCCTAGACTCACCACAGTAAATGATAGTACCGTTGGCCTCCCAAGGCCACTGTGAGGAGTCACTAAGTAAAGGACTTAACGATAACCCGGCATATACAGTAAGCGCTCACTGAGTGTAAAATATTATTTGAAGTCCAAGATTCAAATCCTTCCTAGCTATAAAAATTTGAACAAATCCTTCTGAACCCTCAAGCCTCAGTTTCTTCACATGTTCAATAAGGGTATCAGCCATTTCATTGTCCAGGGGGAACTGAATGCAATTAGCAGTACAGGTAGGATTACAGACAAGATTCCTTATACTTTAATTTTTTTTTCATTTTGTTTTTATTTTACTTTCCTTTCCTAAACATCTAAGAAGTAGAAGCCATAGGACTGCAACCCAGAAATCTTGGCACAACTGCTATGGCTTAAATATGGTTTGTCCCATCAAAACTTGCGTTGAAACTTGGACCGAACCCAAAGTAGTCATATCAGCATGTGGGCCCAAATGGGAGGTGTTTGAGTCACCAGGAACAAGGCCCCATGAGTGAATGAATGCTTTTCTCCTGAGGGAATTCACCGCCTCACAGGACAGTCCACCTATTATGTTCTGTCTCTTACACACACACCTAGTGGCCCTTCCACTTTCTGCCATGAGGGTGGCAGGAGCTAAAGCAAAATGAGACTCGCATCAGCAGTGACTCTCGGATGTTGAACTTTGCAACCTCCAAAATCATAAGCTCTACAGAATAAACTTCTCCTAAATAATCAGTCTCAGATGTTCTACCATAGCAACAAAATTGAACGAAGGCACGCTGAGCTAGGTTTTCTATTCCCCCATGTCAAATTTGGAGTGTAGGTGTTGAAAAGGTGGGGCTGATACATTCACATAATTTAGGAGCTGGAAAGCAGATGGCAGCACGCCGCCTCTGCTTAGAAAAATATTCTGTAACTTTGAACCTGGGGATTTTTCTTTTCCTTGCCCCCAGGTGATAGCGGTAATGTTGAGGCTTTTTTCTGCTTTGGTTTAGAATTGTCTAGCTGGTGAGAGGGTGGATAATCTTCATGGTGCAGGCTACACAAATGCAGAGCACACTTCTTTCTTAAACATGTTTTATATGTTGTTTGTCAGCTCAGAAGAGTGAGTATCTCATCTGTCTTATTCATTTTTGTAAAAGCTTCACACCTAAGAGGTCTGACACCTACCAATGAATCTGATAAACAAGGAAGATAAATTGATTATAAAACCTGAGTTTCCATAGTTTTATTTTTTTTATTTATTTTTTTTTTGTTTGTTTGTTTGTTTGTTTTGGTTTTTCTCCGGTACCGGGAACCGAACTCACGACCTTGCGCTTGCCAGGCAGGCGCTTTGCCGCTCAGCTAAATCCCCAGCCCCTCCATAGTTTTAGAAAGAGGCAGAATGATACTAATTGGAACATCCAACTATGTTGCTGCTACCTCTAAGCTCTATTTTATTATTCATCTCTGCCTTTCTGGAAAAGGCAACTTCTTTTTTTCAGTGAGAAGACAATATTAGAAGATAACTAACTTCAGAGGGGACTGATTGAAACTCCTAATGATTCTGATTAAAGCAGCACCACAGTGGAAGTACTAAAATTTATCCCCACCAGTTAATAAAACAGAAAGATGAGACATCTGAAGAGCATTTTGAATGTCCTTCCACTGTTTTCCAAATGCATTTTTGTGCGAAACACACACATGCACATACACATGAACAGGAGTCTATAAAGTTTCCATTTATTTTCTGCAACCTTGAGAAACCACATTTTCTGCCCATCCTTTTCTAGTGAAGTGGTTAGCTAGACTTTGCACCCAGCCAGTCACACCTTCCAACCTTCCGGTCACACTTCAAACCTCAGTGGCTTTATCATGTCACAGCAGCGCCCTGTTTTTCCTGTCCCAGGCTGAAGTGAAAATACCTGGGATAACCATTAGTTGGAGGTGGTTTGGGGGGGACAAATCACTTCATCAGGAGGGGTAATCACTCCTGGAGAGATTCCCACTTCCTTATTTTTCCAAACAGCTTTTACACCACTGAAAGACACTAAATTTCAGGCTCTAATAGTGAAAAATGAAAACACCTCTATTTTTACATTTCCTGTTCCTCTAATCACCCCCATTTGCCCTCTTTAAAAGACATTCTAATGCTCAAGATTTAAAATACTCTTGTCCCGAGTGAGCCTCCAACAGTAAAATGAGGGCACCTCAGAACTAAATAAAAATAACAAAAGAATAGCAAACAAGGATTTCAGAGGCCTGCTTGAATTCTGTGCCACTAAGGAATAAAGTGTATTCACAGGTTGAAAGAGAAAATAGTTAAGTATTCTCCCACAATTAAGATTTTTGATTCTTGGGGCTGGGGATTTAGCTCAGCGGCAAAAGCGCCTGCCTGGCAAGCGCAAGGTCGTGAGTTCAGTTCCCGGTACCGGAGAAAAACCAAAAAAAAAAAAAAAAAAGATTTTTGATTCTTAAATCAGTGTTCTCCCCACCATATTACCCAGAGAAATGAGACCTTGTAGATGTACTTTGAGCAGTTCTCATTTGGACAGTCTGTCCAGGCGTACCCTGAGCTCATCATCAGTCAAATCATTCCTGTACCTTTGGGGTTTATTTTAGTTATAAGAGTGTAAAATTCTAGTTTATTAGCCAATAATGTTACAGTCAATTAATGCCAGGGGTCTGTGGTAAAATGTACAGCACAAGCCATATTCACAGGTATCACATCTTAAATCAAGACAAAATAGTCCAACAATAAGATGGTACATGAGCAGATGCCTCCCTGTATCAATAAAATACCTGCCTACTCACTTAACTGTGAGAAGCAGAGGCATAGAACCTGCAAAGTCAGAATAAAATACATAGTCTGCCAAAAAAATATATACATATATGCACACTTCAGGAAATGAGAACCAGTCTGATGTTTTTTCAACAGATGGTGTTACTCTCATAATGGTGACCCGAGAGGATGTTGTATATCTCAGGAAACCCATCATACTCTCAGCCCTTAGAGAAGAAATTGAAAATGCATGTGTAGCAATCTCAGTGGCCAACATTACCGAAGCAGCAGTCTGCCATACTAATAAATATCTGGATGCTAACGGCCACCACTTTGAGCACATCTTGTAATTGTAGAGGCCAAAGGTAACTTGCATTAATCTCACAATATCTCAATAAATTTAGTATTGAAATGTTTATACGTTTTTTTTTTTTTTTGACATGTGTGTAAATTTGGCAGGGGGACTGTATACATAAGCGGAGAGTGGCAGTTTAGTTAGTCCTAGTGAGTCTCGCCAGTTGTCCTTGTGTTCCACATGCAGCTTTGGTCACTCAGAGCTCAAGTGTATCAGGCTATATGTGAGAAATCAGAATCATAGCTGCACCACATCAAAAGACACACTCTCGTCTATGTTTAGCTTTACAGTTCTCTGGTATATGCACTTATGCAAAAATTTGTGGTAAATACAGGTTTCCACAGCAACAAAATGACCACTTCAGACTAAATTATGTGTTTACTAATAATCTGAAGGCAGTAAGGACAAAGCAAAGCAACCGACAAAACTTCTACAGATCACTTATTACACAGAAGCGACTGTTAGCAGGGCACGGTGACGCATGCCTGTAATCCCAGGACTCGGGGAAGTCGAGGCAGGAAGATCACAAACTTGAGCCCAGTCAAGACAGTTTAGCAATTTACCAAGGCCTTGTCTCTGAACTTTTAAATATTAAAATTTTAAAAGGGCACAAAAGAAAGATTTCTAGGTGTTGGGTATGTGGTTTACATCCCTTTAAAAAAAGGAAAAGGCAGAATGTGACGTAGTAGCACCTGGAAAAGCATTGATTAGTGCATGAGGTCTCTCCATTAAGGGAGGAGCTACAAGGAACACGGATTGGCTGATCTGAGTGTAATAGAAAACTAGTTTCACCTCAAACTAGCGCCATATAAAATTCATTTTCCAGTGACAACTTCCTATCAGTTAAGAGACAGCTCAATGTATAAAATCAAACCCAAAAATATAAAAAAATGTATCCTAAGGACCTAGTCTCCATTCTTGATCTACATATATGAGATTCGGTATAATCCAAGCACTAGGGATGCTAAGGCAGGAGGATCACTATGCATTTGAGGCCAGCCTGGGCTACTTAGTGAGTTCAAGGTCAGCATGAGCTACATAGTGAGAGTCTGCCTAAAAAAATTAAAACGTAGATATAAAACAAACAATAAGTATGAGAAGTCTTAGTATAGTGGGGGAAGAATAAAATAAGTAAATCAATACTAGAAGAAAGAAAATACAGTAGTTAGTAAGTGAAAGGTTTTTAAATCTAAGGACTATTTCTTCCCAACTTTGTTCAGTCTTTTGAGAGGACTTACTCAATGGGAAGCAAAGAATGACTGCCCTGAGGAATAGCGTAACTGGCCACGAGGGGTCCCTTCTCCTCGGTGACTTTTAGGTGAAAGAGATGTACGAAGTGCACTGCACTGTGTATTCACCAAGGCCTGCACCTTAAACAAAAAGTCACCGTCACCGCTGACGGTAACTCGGACTGTCCCGCACGGTGACGTGGCGAGCAGCGGACTGCACAGCCGACTGGAAGAGAATGGACCTGCGCTTTCGGAGCGGCACCAAGGACCAGCTGTGCTCAAAGGCAAACAGGCAGGCTCTAGAGCAGGGACGCCCAGCCCGGCACAGCTGGCAATGCACCCCCGCAGGATCGTGAACTTTTAACACTGTGGTGTGATTTTCAGAGCTCTTTCACGACTAAACTGCGAGGTGCCCAAGCACAGACTGCATAGTTGACTACAACTGCTGCAGACGGGCTCACGGCAGTGCTAACTCCACCCCCCGCGCCCAATACGTGCAGTCCGATCGAACCTGCGTGTATCAGCGGGGCTCACTTGACCTGCCCCATAAAATGCTATGACTGCTATTTCAACCTACTAAGAAGAGTAAAATTGAACGCTTCTGACGAGCACCTTAAGAACCAAGAATTGCAACTTCCCCTGTACTGACACTAAAACATTAGATTCACAAAAACAAGGTTAAAATTCCCACTTATTTTGCTTATATTTTTTTTAAACATTGCAATAAAAAATATTTTTAAAGTTCTATTACTTATATACATTAACTGTTCTATGTATTTTCTGTGACTGAAGACAATTCCTCTTCACTTAATGTGGCAACAGGTTGAACCCCCACATCCTACAGCTACTCTGCGCAACGGGTATGGGCACCTGACTGTGTGGCTACCTACATTTCACCAAAATTAAACAGCAGAACAAAAAAAGTTTATCAGCACCAATGAAGTTAAAAAAATCAACAGCATAAAAACAGGCTTATTAGCAGCATGCAGGTATTCTCTTTACAATTATTTTAACTATGCAGTATATTTGAAATTTTTCACAAAGAAAAAGTTTTGAGTAACACTATAAATTCAAATGAATTTATAAGCACATCTCAAGTAATCAATAGTCATAGGCCGCTGTGGCTACATTACTGGGCTACACCAATACGGAACACTTCTATTTTTGGAAAAAAAACAAGTGTACTGGACACAGCCATTCTGCTTCTCTAGCAGCTTAGGAGGCCCAGTGAGCCCTCAGGAGCGCCCCCGCCCTAACGATGGTACTAACTGGTCCCCAGGGCAAGCAGTCTATAACTTCCACAGAACACCTTCAGAGTGGGACTTCAAAGGCAGAAGGAACACCAGTGTGGAAATAATGAAAATGAATTCTATCAGACAGTCAAGGTCCAGGGATACAGCTCAGCAGCACAAGCTTCTGCCTGGCAAGCACAAGGTTCTGAGTTTGATTCCCAGCACCAAAAAAAAAAAAAAAATAATTAAGTCACTGCACGGAACTGGGAAACAAATGAGAACTGTGTTCAGTAGAACTTAAAAAAAAGAAAAAAAAATATATATATATATACACACACATACATCTCAATCACAGTTGTTCCCCAACAGTTTAGGCCAGGTGTGTTGGTACACATCTGTAATCCCAGCACTGGGGAAGCTGAGGCAGAAGGATCACTGTGAGTCCAAGGCCAGCCTGAACTGCATAGCAAGACCCTGTCTCAAATAAACCAAATAAACCAGGTGTAGTGGTGCACATGTACAATACCACCACAGGGAAGGCTGAAACAGGAGGATCTCGATGAGTTCAAGGCCAGCCTAGGCTACAGAGTGAGTTCAAAGCCAGCCTGAACTGAACAGCAAAACCTTGTCTCAAAAAGACCAAAAAAAAGAAAATTTTTTCATCTACAATAAATTTTTTTGGTCTAAAATAAATGTTACATTTTATACTGAAGTCATCTGGTATACACACACACACACACACACACACACACATAAGGAATAAAGGTATGATCAAAGATATGCCTAACTTGGGGTACTATTTATACTCAACACTTTCGACAATTATTGCTTATACCAGAAATAGTTAAATGTCATTTCTCTGACGAGCTTGTGATTAATATAAAAAAAAAAAAAATCCAGAGCCTTTTGTAAACAACTTCAGTAAAGAGCCATAAAGTAAATACTATAAGGTATAGGAGAAATAAGGGAAGATCAGCAATTGTTAGATAGAAATGTGGCTACATACTTCTACCTGCAATTCCTGCTGTAGGATGTATCTACCACAACAATTTATTACATTTAAAGTGAACCATAGACAAAGCTTCCTGAGAAGAAAAAAAATAAGAAAAAACTTCCCATACCAGTTTTGCTATGTTTTATTAGAGCAAACCTTCAACAAAAAGTGTCTTTTATTTACAGAATTTAATGTGTATGTGGACAGTCTTACCTACTTAGACGCAAGGGAGAAAAACCATTAAATCTGTTTATTTTTCTATGTTCAGTTTACATACAAAAAGTTTATTTTCACATTCATAAAAATCCTAATATTATAAATGACAAACCCTCTCTCCCCCACCCCTCAAATATACAAAGATCTTCACAAATATACAATTTAAATTGGTTTAATCTTGAAGTGTAATCCAATGAGACTGAAAACTAAACATTTCAAGTCTTGTACCAAATAGTAAAATACTCGAAGGCCTTCAGGATCTCTAAAATTTAAAAAGGTAAAAGTTAGTTTTTTAATCCTAATGAAACATCATTTTACAATTCCTAAAACAAAATAAACACCCTTAACAATTAAGTTCATGGAACTCAGGAGAAAAGAATTTTGCTAACAAACTGAACCAACTGAATGATTGAGCATCTCTGTCTGTCTGGTAAGGAAAAAGCTTTTTCATCAGTATCTATTTTTATATTTAAAGCGTTTATCTCCTTACAGAAATTAATAGCTACACACCACAAAATGCATAATGAAAAAAAAAAGTACTCATAATTATTCTGTAATGCTACCACCCAACGTACTAACAGTAAACATTTGGTTTTTTTTCCTTCGTAACTGAAATCATTCTCTGTGGCATTTTTATATTATTTTTCACAGCATTTAAAAAAAACACGTCACTGATCACTTTAATGTAACTACTGTCTTCTTGTTGAACGTATGGATTACTTCCAGTTATGAATAATGCCCCAGTGATCATCTTTATGCATAATAAAGCTTTACTAACACTTGAGGCTATCCTTCAAACAGACACTGGCATGCAGTTACAAGGGCAAAGACAAATAAAACGTTCAGTTTCGGATGCATGTTCCAAATTGCTTCCCAAAAAAGCAACATGACCAATGAAAGCCACATACTCAGCAATACTAAGAAAACTAATAGCTGATAAGCAAACAGTTGTTTTCTGTGAAGTTAGCCTTTCTTACCCTTATTTTACATGCATTCTTTTGTCACATAATGCATCTATTATGTTCAAAGCACTATGATAACTCTAAAGACACAGCAAGATTCTCATGAAGCTCACATTCGAAGTAAAGCAAGCCAGGCAGGGTGGAGCCCATCTGTAAGGCCAGCACTCTGGCACGCTGAGGCAGGAAGGGGCACAAGTGTGGGCCCAGCCTGGGCCACTTAGCAAAACCATGTCGCAAATTTTAAAAAAGGTTGAGGATATAGCTCAGTGCAAAGGCCATAGGTTCAATCTCTAGTAAGATGGGCAGGAGGCTGGTGAAGCAGACAAGTAAGTTGTTACGATTTAGGGTGATAAAAAGTGAAAGCACCGTGGGGACATTCTGAAGAGGCAGGAAGAAAGGGCTTGGATCAAAGGCAATACCATGCATTGCAGTAGCCCAAAGGAGACACAGAACTAGGAGACACAGCTAAAATAGCATCGTACTGGAATTTCGCCACTTTTCAAATATTAAACATGAAAAAGAGCTTATAATATGGAGCTAATGAAGCTGATATAATTCAGTAAGAATTTCTTTCTTTAAATTTTGTGACATTGTATCCAGACTTCTACATAAAATAGTTCATAAATACTGGGCATTATTATGGATATATACAGATTATAGTAATTTTGGTATAGATTACAATAAAGTTTTGATGAGAATACTATTTTGATAGTAAAAGACCCTACTAGCTTCTCTGATACACAACATAACGAGTCTTTAAGGACATAAAAATCAGAATCAGATCTGCAATGGACACCACTACTGACTCACAAACTGACGATAGCTCTGAAATAAATCTCTAATAAGTTATGTAATTTAGCCAAAATATTTTAAATACTCACTTTGACTGATTTACATCAATAAGAGAACCTATCTTTGATGTGGTAAAAGAAATATGTTCATCTCCAATTACAATTTCAAGCTCCTAAAACAAAAGCAAAAAGTACAGTTAATATAAAAACCTCTCCCAGAGATAATCTATATTCTTGCCAGAGAGGGCTTTCACTTTTAGCTCTAAAAATCAATAGAAGAGTGGATGGAATATGTTAAGATATATACTGACGCCTTAAAATAAAAATCTCATTGTTCATAAGTACCACCACCAATGACAGAGCCAACCAAAAACTCCTTTCCAGAATAATCATAAAGAAGATACTATAAAATGACACAGAAGTTTCTTATAGTATCAGTCAACACCAGAGGCATCACTTCAACGCATGTGTTACAATTACAAAAGTATAAACCTATGGTTCATATATCAAACATAACTACATTTCCCTTACTACAAAATTCTGCAAATAAAATGTGTATTAATAAATTCTACTATCTTAGCACCCACTATTTACCAAGAATGCTTCTGCAAACCCTAAAATAACCATATAAGATAAGTAGGTTTACAAATATACTAATATATAAACGTACCAAACTCGTAAAGCATAGAAAAATACATGCTGGTATTTATAATCACTAATAAGTGACACTAGCAACATTTGATTCCAAGACTGTTAAGACTGAAAGATAACACTTTTTTTAATTCATCAATTACAATTAAGAATCTGTAAAACAAATACAACATATATAGTTCTTCCTAGTAGCCATATTATTGTATAAATTTTTCTCTATATTGTCTATCTGCAAATCTAAAATTAATAATTAAGGGGTTATTCTGTAATGAATTTTCAAGTTAAATTAACAAACATCATTAAGGATAGTCCTAGCTACATAATCAAGAGACGTAACTATACAGTTTATGGCACATATTAAATGCAGAGTTAAGTAAAATTCCCTAGCAATTGCAAAATTTTTAACTTAGTGATCCAATAGAATTTCTGGAGCACACCTGCTCCTGCCCCCTAACCAAAACTTATGAATGTATCAAGTTGGTAGGTGAAATACTGGGCTTTCTCTAAGTGTAAAAGATATAAAATGCTAGCCACTGTTGTTTTTGATTTTTAGTACATATATATAATAAATGCATAAAACAAATTGAGATCTACAGTTATTTTCTATGAATGATACAATGCATAAATCCTGCTTTATATTCCCTTTGTTTTCCTATACAATGCTTCTTTAAATAGCAGAGTTAAATTACTGTTACTGAGTGTTAGCATCTGTTAGATTTCTCCACATTTTTCCTCCAGTCAAAGATGATGATATAAATTATAATCCTCAAGAATATAACGAAGTAAAATTGAGAATTTCTTTCTTCCAAGGGTTCTATCTCATTTCTCCAAAAGTTGAAAAGACTCAATTCAGAAACAAACTGTCTTTCTACAGAGTAAAATTAGGTCTTCAAAGTTCTTCAGAAGCCCTTTGAAAAATACTGGTTATTCTAAAGGGAATACGAGAACCAAGTACAATGGTCAGTTTGAACAAAGAAACCAATCAAACAGCTCTTTGGGAAAAAAAAAAAATAGCTCTTTGGGGCATAGAGATGCACATAGAAAAACTGTTCAGAAAAATGTTTACATTTTAACACTACACACTGATTCCTTTATTACTAGAAAGTAGGACAAATGAAGTTAAGTAGGAACTAGGAGCACAGTTTAATGGAAGAGCACTTGTCTGGCCTTTATAAGGCCCTAGGTCCAATCTCTTAGTACCATATCCCAAAAAAAGAGGTTAAGTGATGAAGAATCCATAAGGAATCACTCTGAATAATACATTATTTAGAATATTATTATTATTACTATTATATTAACAATTTATAACACTTTCAGGTAAAGGATCAGAAATACAAACCTGCCGGCCAACCCTGTCAGGGGGTGGCCACAAAGCATCATCCTCTTTTGTAATTTCACTGTCATCAATAATTCTCTTCAGTTCTTCCATTACACTTTTGTGGACATATGCCTGAAAGTCAATGATGATAAAATTTCATAACATGTACCTATGTTGTTCCGTAACTTACAAGGAAACGATGAAAGAGTTACAAATCTGTAATATTCAAGAGTATCACAGATAAACTTAATCCTGATTCTAAAAGTACAGGATATTATTTCTACCTACCTTCTACATACTCTTCTAATATTTATAACCCTTTAAAATCCTTTGTCACATAGGGACTAAACAGCTAATAGTGATAACACGAGGTCTACAAGGTGAAGAGAAAAATGCAAGTAAGCATCACAATTAATACTCTGAACTCTTTCCTATCCCTCACTTCTGCATCACTCACTTGAAAATCATACTGCTTATATCATGATAATCAATTAGTTTTACATTGTGGAGAATAAAAAGAGAAAGATAACTATAAAGTGAACTAAATGACATTTTCAAATATGGGACTGCAGGTTACTACATTCAAATTGCTTCTTCTGTTGTTACCCAGGCCACAATCACATCTAATTGAAATGAAAACGTTTCAATCTATAAACTTTTTCAAATACAGCCTTAGGATGAATTTTTATAAATTTAACACAGACGTGAGGAAAACGGATCACACATAAAAAAAAATAGGGACGTGAAAAGAACTTACCTCTTTTCTGATCATGACATCATTTTTATAATTGCTATTGTTAGCATATCTTAGCTTTCCTGTGAAGGGTAGAAAAAAAATTCAGTCCATAATAGCAGAAACTGCTAAAAATTAAAAATAAGAAATGACATTATAAACAGTTTTGAAGATAAAGACCATTTCATAGTTTTTTTAATAGTGGATTTTGAACAAGGGGGCCCTGCACTACACTATATTCCCAGCCCTTTTAAAAAAGACTTTTTTTTATTTGAGGCAGGGTCTCACTAAGTCACTAAGGTTCCCAGGTTGTGCTCAACCTGACTCCTGCCTCATCTCCCAGAGTGCTGGGACTAAGGGCATGATACACGGTGGCCAGGCGCACTACCACTTCTCTTAATCTTTCCTCCCTCCCCGTCTTAAGATCAATGCTAGACATGTAGACACTCAATACTGTCTGCTAACTTGGCTAATATAAAGTTGCCAAATTTTAAAATATTCCATACCTCCAATATATAATAGGTCATTTCTTAGGCCTATTTTCTTAAATTATTTCATAATATAAAAAGGAAATCTGAAAAAGGAATTACTATTTCTCTTAAAGTCTGATATATGTGTTGGTGCTAAGTGTCAAAACATTTCATCCAATTTCTTAATAATAATGCTTAATAATCTTCCCTTTCCTTATACGTGATCTTGTCTTAATTTTTTTCTCATGCTCTATAGAACCTTGTCCAAAACATGCATAGAGCACTTACTATCCAGTTTTATAGATAGGGGCATACTTATGTTCCCATCAAGACATGACTCCTTGAGGGAAATTAAAAGTCATACTCATTCCCATACCTTCAATTTTTGAATTTACATATTGCCTAGGACATGGCATACTTTTAAAAATCTACTTAGCTTAAAACTCTTCTTGCTGCAGGTGAGCGAAGTTCAGTATACAATGTATTCTGTAAAGAATCACAGCTGTCAAAAGACAAAACTGAGGCTGGGGGGATCATGGGAAATTCGAGGCAAGTGCAGGGTAGTGAATACAAGGCCAACCTGAACTACATAGCGAAGCCCTGTCTCCAAAAAACCCAAAACAAAACAAAGAAAAAAGAAAGAAAACAAACCTGCCATATGTTATATAGGCAGTAGTTCAACTAGCCTTCAGCTTTTGCGGCTCTCAGTCTGGTTTTATTTTTCCCTAAGAAGCCAAGAAAATACAGTCTCTCTTTTCTAGACTCAATCTCAGGTGCCTCCTCCTCTAGGAAGCTTTCCCTGACTCCGTCCTGCAGAATCCCTCCTTTTTTGTACTTACTTTTGGTAGTAAATTCTTACGGTGAACAACTGTATTTAAGCACCTAAAATATATTATACTCATTTTGTTTATACGTCGACCTCCTCCCCTACAATAAAATAGGAAAAAAAAAAAAAAAAAAAAAACAGCCTCAACACACTCAGCCTAAACGACTGAAATGAATGAATGAACGAAAGCTAGTGGTCAAAGATTTTCAAGCATCCACTGGACCCCGGCGCGGAGGGGGTGCGCTTTAAAATACTGTAACACTGTCTTTTAAAGTCCCTCCTTAGTGCGCTGATTCGAGGATTCCCATTTCTGTAGCGTGGATTCAACTTCCCAGTCTGTGGCACGATCAGCTTGGTTGAATGAATTTACCGCAACTAACTCCTTTTCATTCCCAAAACAGCTCAGGCCTCTCTCTAGATGCTTAAGCTCTTCCTTCCGCGGTCTACGCAGGGCCGGTGCGCCCGCCGCACCCAATCCAGCCCCGCGAGGCCGCCCCTCCCGATCCCGCTTCCCAGCGCCGCGCTCCGCGGCTGCCCCGGCCCCGCTACTGCTCACCGTCGGGCCGAAACTCGAACTCCAGAAACTCGTGTCCGAACTTTCCCTTGTGCCCTACATAGTAGCGCAGGTAGAAATCACTAGCCATAGACATTTTTGTTCCTAGGAAACGCGTCCAAAGCCCAGCAACGTGCCACCAGACGCTTGGAAGTGACGTTAGTCGCGCAGAATCAGTGCGTCACTGTGACGCCTCTCTTCCGCTTCCGGGACCTCAAGGGAACTATTTGGTGCAGCCTCTCGCGTGAGTGGCTTAGTGTCCGTGATGTGTCGGTTGTGCTGCATAGGAAGCGTATTATTATCAAACTTAAGTGGATTACGTTATATTAAGAAAGAAGTGTACAAATGTAGTGGCGTTTTTATGAGCTTACAACGAAATAAGTTTCTTTAAACTTCAGCTCTCAGTTACCGACTTGCTGTGACGTGGGTGTGGCTTGATTTTCCTACAGTCGTGCGATGACTAAAGATAAAAAGCCAGAAACAGTGGCAGACCCAGAATATAACCTGTTTCGCTGGGACTGATTCCTCGTGAGGCTCTGGATAGTGATTGCTAGTTATCCCGCAGCCAAAAACCTGTAGACAAAGTAGAAGGAATCCAGCAGACGAGGGCTTTGAAGTTTTGAAAAGTACACTAAACTGCAAAACCCCGATAGTCATGGAATTGAAGGGCTTTTAATATAACTTAAAAGGTATATCCTTCAGTAAGGATTAACCTTTAGTGGCCTATGCACTTCTGACCATTTGACTTAACATCTAATAATGGTTTAGCTCGCATTTCTTTCCATATCGACTTAAATTGGGGAAGTGAAAAAATGCTCCAGCGCGAAGGACAGGAAAAAAAAGTGAACTTTTACGCAAAGTCTGCTTCTGAACTGTTACAGATTACCTTTCTTTTACCAACACAGAGTAATTCTGCCTGGTGAATGACAGCCTTCAGTGGGATGTAGTAGAAAATCGTATAAGACATAATCCCAACACTGACACTCCTTAACCTTGGACAAGTGAGTATCTCTAAGCCAAACAGATAATACAGCAATTAGGTTTGCAAAGCACACAGAATTGGTAAGGACAAATGAGATAATGTAGGTAAAATTATTTTGAAACTTATGCAACATGAATTTTAACAAGCATTTTCTGTGTTCTGGAAACAGTTGAACACAAGTAATAAAGAGAGCCAGTTGCACTTTTGGTGCAAAGCAAACATGTAAGGCAAACATCAGCGTAAGAACAGTAACATGCTGGCGTAGTACAACAAAGGAAGCAAGTCGTTTTACAGCAGGTGGAGTTTAGAATTAGAAAAAAGGTAGCCATCAAAGGCCTTGCTTGACGTGAAAGGTGTTACTGGAAGTGAACCTTGATGGGTAAATTTTGTGTATGTTCAGTAGGATGGAAAGCATTCAGGCAGAGAATGGTGTAAGGAAAAGGCATGGTGAAGTGAAAGTGCATATCTGCTGAAAACTAAGAAATTAAGTATAACTGGAATATAAGATTCATGTAAGTGGATTAACTAGAAAGGCAAGCTGGAATAGGTCATCCTGAGTCCAAATTAATATAGAGTTATATATGTGTAGGATATTATATAATTATTTAACCATATAAACGATTATTCAATCCCTCACATAGGCTGCTGTTTTGAAAAATACATTAAAAAAAAAGCCCTATTCCCTGTCTCTAGGATGACTAGCCATTGCAGTTTGCCCACGACCTTAGAATTTGTTGGAACATGACATTTTCGATTTTGAAACTTGGAAACTCACAGAAAACCTCAGATGAGTTGGACAGTATTTACCACAAGAATAATTCCAAGAAAACTGAGCACAGTATTCCATATTATCTTTTTAAATGCCAGTTATGACCCATTTGGCTGAATTCTATCAAAAACTTCATACAATATCTTTAAATTGTCTAAAACATTTCTCTCAGGATTTTGGTACATGTACTCATGTTCATCTTCTTGTCCATTTAAATATATTATAGATAACAGACATTGAGATGATGTAGAGGTTATAGAATGCACAAAATATTAAAGTCTTTCTAAGTGGAGCAATTACTCTCTTGATCCTCTGAAAAGACTTGAGTTTATTTATTCTTCTAACCCTGTATCTTTTTGTTTTGGTTTTTTTTGGTTTTTTTTTTTGTCTTTTCTTCCGGTACCAGAAATCGAACTCACAACCTTGCGCTTGCCAGGCAGGTGCTGTGCTGCTGAGCTAAATCCCCAGCCCCTTAACAAGTATTTTAAAAGTAATAAAACATTTGTGTTTTGTGGTCTTAGATATACAACAGCAGTGTGAAAATGTTCTGTGTGGCTGCGGAGCACTTAAAATGTGGGATGTAAGACTGAAGTACTGAATTTTAATTTCAATTAATATACATTAGCATTTAAATAGCCTCATGTGACTAGTGGCTACTGAGTCAGCAGTTACGTAAGTTTCTCATGTTTCTTAGTTGGGGTGGAAATAGTGAAAATATTTTGTGAACATTTTTCAATCTTATTTGCTGTTGTCTCTAAATTAGGGCATAATTACTTCTATCACCACAGTTTATCTATGAAAATAAATGTTTGAGTTGCTTATGTGAAACCAAAATACTGCTCTGCCTTTACTAACGCAGTGGTTAATGTCAAAGAATCTTGTGTAGTTTTTTTTTTTTCTTGTGTAGTTTTGATGTACAAAATAAACATTTTATTTCCAACTCCAACTGAAATTGAAAATTAATGATTTATTGCAATGTACAATAATCATGGATAAAATGATTTCCCACTGGGGTTTTTAGGTTTATTTCATCTTCACGATAATGAATTACCTTAGGGGACTATCATCAGAGATTATTCTTAATTAAAATTGTTAATTTAATCTTAAATGTTTTGTTTTTTCTATACGTAAAATTTTCTTTTCATCTTCTTTTTATGTCTCCTCTATCCACTTATTTTTTTTACCCTTTGACTTTGTTTAGATTGATCAAATCATGCCAACTTTAGATTTTCAGAAACATGTTCTGTGTTGTGATAAACACTAGAGATGATAGTTTTATTTTTATCAATACCTTTGATTGTCTTTGCTTTTGCATTTACAGAGTCAAATTTATCAGGGCTAGCTCATTCAGTGAAATGGATCAAAGTAGTAAGTGAAGAATTAAAGTAGACTGTGGTCTTAAAAACATGCCAAAAAAGCCAGGCGTGGTGGTGCATGCCTGTAATCCCAGTACTGGGGAGGTTGAGGCAGGAGGATCGTTGTGAGTTTGAGGCCAGCCTGGGCTACAAAGTGAGCTCAAGGCCAGCCTGAACTGCATAGTGAAACCCTGTCTCAAAAAGAAAAAAAAAAAAGAATAACTAAAAACATACCAAAATGGTATAAAGTTTTAAAAAGAAAAGCCAGAATGAGGTAGTCTTGTTCAGCCTTTATTTCATTTACCCACTTTTCTCTTCTGTAATACACTTTCCTATTAATATTGGGCATATCTATCTTTTTACCACTGTATAATACTTTTTAAGAGAATTTCCATCATACAGAAACACCAAACTTTCTACACCATTGTTTGATATGATCAATTAGAGTGAAATATTGATGCTGTTTCTAGATTATCATGACACAGTAATTATTTAATTCCATCACTCCATGTAAGAATTTTTTGTACCATAGGACATTATTGTATGCTTTTAACACATAATATCACTTCTAATTCACGCCCAAAACAAATGAACACAGTGCATTGCATTAAGAATAATAAGCTAAATAAAAGAAGATGCTCTCCTGAGATCTTCTGTTGTATTTGTTAGTTTTTCTACTTAAGTTAGTAAAGCAAAGCCAAGTTTCCTTAAATTATTACAGTAAGGTTAAGAAAATTCTATTGCGCAGCCATCCAGCAAGAGCACACCTGAGCTCACTTCTCAGGGCTCCTACATCCCCTGCCTACCCCGGCCCCTCAGCACATCGTGGCACCCTCCCAGGTCCTCACATTTGGCCTCCTGCACCTGGCATCGATGGCAGCAGTGAGCATGGCCCAGGAAGCATGTGACTGTGAAAACGACAAGTCGACCGTAAATTGCTTTGTGAACAGAAGCAGTCAGTGCCAGTGTATCTCCTATGGTACACAGAATACTGTCATTTGTAGAACTCTGGCTTCCAAATGTTTGGTGGTGAAGGCAGAAATGACTCATTCCAAGTCCAGGAAAAGACCAAAACCTGAAGGACAATCTAGAACAATAATGGGCTATGTGACTCTGACTGTGATGAAAACGGGCTCTTTAAAGCCAGGCAGTGCAGTGGCACTGCCACATGCTGGTGTGTGCACACCGCTGGCATCCAAACGACCAACAGAGACACTGAGAGACAGTGCCCCAAGCTGGTGAGAATCTACTGGATTATCGAACTAAAACACAGAGAAAGACAACAGCCTTATAGTCTTCAAAGCTTACAGACTGTGCTTCAGGAGGTGATCATAACCCGTTACCAGCTAAATCCAAAATTTACAAGTATTCTGTATAGGAACAATGCTGTCACTGTTGATCTGATGCAAAATTCTCAGAAGACTCAGAATAACGTGGGCATAGCTGATGTGGCTTATTATTTTGAAAAAGATGTTGATGAAGAAGCACCTAAATTTTCAATGCAGGGCCTAACAGCTGGTGTTATTTCTGTTATTGTGGTTGTGACAGTAGCCGCTGTTGCTGGAACTGTTGTACTGCTTATTTGCAGAAAGAAGAATAGTAGAGTGTAGAAAGGCTGAGATTAAAGAGATAGGTAGAGATGCAAAGAAAACTCGGTGCATAGCTGCTGTAATTTTAAAATGAACCACAGAAGGGAAATCAGCAAAAGAATTAAAAATGCATGAACATGGGACAAAAAGATTTTAAGTACTGTCTTGTTAACATCATATATTTGTAATGGAGAAATGTGTACTCAAAATATAAGCAGCTTGCCGGGTGTGGTGGTGCATGCCTGTAATCCCAGCACTTGGGAGGCTGAGGCAGGAGGATCGTTGTGAGTTTGAGACCAGCCTGGGCTACAAAGTGAGCTCAAGTCCAGCCTAAACTGCACAGGGAGACCCTGTCTCAAAACAGACCAAAAAAAAAAATTAAGCAGCTTGAAATTGGCATTACCAATCTTATAATCTGACCATAAGTGTCTTATATATGCAGATCTAATATCTGGATCAAGACCCAGAACTTGGATTGCATAGTTAAAATACATGTGCAGTACTGAAGAGTGTGTTCAGTATGCTTCCACAGTGGAGTCTGAAGGACTACTGTCTCATTTGTGATTGAAAGCTGCCTTTCTATTTACTTTGAGTCTTGTACATAAACTTTTTTATGAAATAAAATACTTTTGAACTGAAAAAATTAAGATTAAGAAAATTCTGTGAACCTACTTTTTTATTTTAAAATGATGAAAAACATTACTGTTCCTCAATTTTTATAGCACACTACCTAAATGTAGCATGCAAACCACTAGTGTTCTACATGAATATGACTTGAGAACCGCTGGTTCAGATCATTCTATGTTAAACTACTTTAAGTTTCCATTAGACACTTTAGTCTGAGGTTTACTCAGTTCCTAACTGTTGAATTGTTTTTTAACCATACAACATAGATTGGAAAAAACAAAGCTGGACAAGGGGCAGTCAAAACAATAAAACATAACCTTTGTGGATTAAACTTGTTTAACAGTGAAAATTTAATTTTCTTTTTTATTCATTACCCTAGAAATAATGTAATATTGCTGGCAAGTTAAAGATGTCAGAAATAGAACCTCAGAAATATAATTCTTCTTTTGGAAAAAGTCTGGAAAACTCAGAGAAACATACATTTTTCTTCGAGTAAAAATTACTCGAGACAGTTTTCCAAACTGCATCCAGAAAACCAATAAAACTAGAAGTCACCATTTAAAATAACCAATTACTGCATTGCTCCCTCAGACCAAAACAAATACCAACTTACGAAAAGAGTAGTCTTCTGTTTCATTATATCCAACAATTGGCCCGGTGTCTGGCACAAGGAGTTTTAACACTCAATTTTTTAAAATAGTCAAATACTTTGAAAATTTGATTTACGTGAATAGCTAAGAGGCAATAATAGAATTCTGTGTCATGTAATTTTGTATGAAGCTACACTGCTTCCTTTTTCCCTGCTTGCCACTCATGACCTATTTAAAACCTGACTACTCACTGTGGTATTCCCACGGGGGCAAGAACCATTCTACATTTAACTGACTCATCATGACTCCACCAGGAGCCCAGCTTCTGCAACTGCTTCAGCTGCCAGTCATCCCTTCTACAGTAGCCTCAGATGTCCCTTCTAGTATAACCACAATGTCCTTTAAAATCACATATGACTGTATTCATCAGAATTGCCCTCACTGTGATATTTTCAATATTTTTAAATAGTAGGAGACTGTTTTCATCACTGAAAAGCTCATACAAAAAATGCTCACCTCAAGCTGGACATGGTAGTACACTTCTATAATCCTGGCACTCTGAGAGGCTGAGGCAGGAGGATCAAAAATTAGAGCCCAGCCTGGCCAATTTAGCAAGATACTGTTTCAAAAAAAAAAAAAAGAGCGAGCTGAGGGGTGTAGCTCAGTGCAGAGACTTTGGGTTCAATTTCTAATATCAAAAAAAAAAAAAAAGTGCTGACTTCATGATTTTAGTCCCGTGGTATTTATACCATACCATCATCCTTATGTATATCCTGCTTTGCAGTATCAGACTGAGGTTTTCTTCTTGACAACAGTATATTTTAAATAAAATAGATATTAATAGTCCTAAGATAGGAACAGCAAAAGACAAACATTTATTGAGCAGATGTATTATTATATATCAAATGTTGTACAAATACATATTCTCACAACAACCCTGTGAGGTAGGTAATCATCCCCATTTTACACATAAAGAATTCCTTTTCTGATAATGTAGTTTGCATAGTGTGCCTGAATTTTTCTATTAAGATGAATCTCCATTTATTTATTTTTAACCTCCCTATTGTAAAGACTTTGGTAGCTGCATATCAGAAAATCCTATTTACACTCAATAAATATTAATTTAATGAATTGTCTCATAGTGCATCAAAGGATTATCTGAAATTAGAAGCTGTTGGCCTGTACCAGATTATATTCTTGTCTAGATCTTGTTAATGACCATTTTAGCTATGACTTTTCACTTGGTTTCCACATTTCTTGTTTAACACATACACAGCATTTGCTTTGAATGTTTATTCTCAAGAGTTAATCTCCTTAGTCTTAACAAGGATCAGGAAGCCGCGTTGAGCAATACATGTTGAATGTTACTCATCATGAAATGACTCCTACAGCTTCTAATTAAAAGTAGTATTAGCCAGGCAAGGGAACGTGCCCGTTCCACAGTACCGGGACAGTGAGGCAGGAGGATTTCAAGTTCAATCCCATTCTGGGCAACTTAGGAGACCATGTCTCAAAATAAAAAAGGGCTGAGGATGTAGCCCAATGCAAAAGCCCTGAGTTCAATTCCAAGTTCCACAAATACATAAAAATAGTACCAAACAAAGTTCATCTGTCTCAGAATTAGATAAAAAGGGATTATCTTATCTGTACCCAAGAGGAAACTCAGAAGTTTTATAGTTCCCCAGCTCTACACAAAGGGACCACGACTAAAGAACTTTATGTTCCCTCAACATAAAGGGACCAGATTTCCCCTTAAAGGAGAGCTGTCTCCGTACCTATACTCCTGAGCAAGCAGGACCTTGAATTTTCTTCCTCATCAATTTCATTGTTTGGATTTGTGTTCCTTCATTTTATTCTAGTTCATTTGAACCTTGTAATAATATAGCTAAAGGCATTTTTCAGCAGTAAACTAGCCTGGGGTGAGAAGGAAGAGCATACTCCAATAATCACTGCAGATTTTTAAAGCCACAGTTGTAACGAAATCCACATCACTTCTGCCCAACTTCTTCAGGCATGGACAGCACTCCAAGACTGACAGCATTTCTCAGCTTGTGAGGTTAAGGTGCATGGCGCCGCATCCAGCATCATTTCAGATTTTTAGGGAAATGTGGAGGGGAAGATCCGGGATCTGTGTCCTTTTTTCCCTCTGTGCGCCCACCAAAAGTCCATTTTCTGTTCTTGGAGAAATTGATTCCATGATTGATTACCAATGGAAATGTGTCTTGACTGACAGTCTTTAAAGAATGCTGTAACAGTAGGAGAGGCTCTCCACGCTGATGCCAGCCACATCGGCATACAGCTCAGGTACCACTAGCTCTGGCACCTGTAACACAGCCTTGTCATCTGCAGTTCTAGCGGCAGCTTCTATGCGCGAGCGCAACTCTTTGGGTAAGGGCCGGGAGTCCTCACTCCAGCGCCAACAGGATTTCATAATGTTGTACCTGTGAAGGGGATGAGGGAGACAGGCAGGTGTGTGGGAAACACGTCTCCTCTGCAAAGAAACCCTAACAGCAATAAACCCTACAGTTTTTAAATCTTTTTACCCTGTCTCTCGTGCTCTTCCTAGAGACTGATACTCCTTTTCATCCTCTTTATATGATAGTCTCTTAATAACATCTTCCCAGTGCGACCTCTTTCATACTAGGAATGATGAGATTTTTCACACTACAGAGAAGATGACAAGATTGTTCTCCACTGCATATTGTTCATTGTACATATAAACGACATACGCCGAAATTGCAGGGCTGGCACATGTGTCTTTTTCCCTCTGTGATGGAGGGAAAAATCTTAATCATTCTACTGTATGCCAATTTCCCTGTTGTTTCAGATATCTCATCCTCAGAATCTTAAATTCTTTAAGGTCAGGTACTTTTATCACTGAAGCGTTTCCTCCAATATGAAGGACAAACTCATAGATATAGAAGACCCACAAGAAATGCTTGTCAAAGTTTCATTGTGTTACGCACAGCCAACATTACTATACTGTGTGTGCACGTGCATGTAAATAGCTAAGGAAGCTAAACTTTATAATCTGCTTCATACAGTAATTATAGTGTAGGGCAAAACAGGCTGTAGGAAATTACGCCTTTGGTGCTGAAAAATTTACAAAATAAGAGTTCCAATAGAAATGTTCATTAACATATTCTCTGCCTCCTTATCATAATTTCAACTTACATCCTCTAAGTCTCTTTTCTATTTCATTAATGACAAAATTTTGTGTGTAATTTTTATTTTTATTTTCTGTTTATAAATCGGTTAACCCGATCCCTGGTACCACAAAAATAATAATAATAATAATAATAATAATAATAATATTAATATAAATTGG